TACTTTCTGAGTTCTGGCGCACGGTTCTCTTCTCGATGTTTGGGCACCTTGTTCTTCCAAATCGGGCCCGGAAAGGGATCCCGTTGGCGCAGACAACGGGTGGGGGATACACCGTGGGCGAAGGAAAAGAAATCCGCTCCAATACCCTCTCATCTTCCTCCAGACAGGAGCGGCATACCAGAGCTGAGGGTGATTGAATTCATCAAATACAGGTTCGTTTCTAAAACGAATAATACAGCGGCATTAATACCAGGGCAGTCGAAATTCGTGACTGTATTCTGTACATGTATGTACAAACCAATACGCTAATTCCAAGGCACATTTCACAATGTTTTAGGATGAACAGTAAAGTAAACACAAAAACAATTGGTTTGAGGGTGGAAATGCGGTCATTTTACTGATAACAAGTCATTACATGGATGGTGTATCGATTGAGGCCGATTAACAGAAGTTGCAGGAAAAGTGAATCAAAAGAGTAAAATCACAAGTGTACCAATGATACGAAAACAAGGAGAAGAAAAGCAAAAGCAGAAAAGAAAGAAAGAAAACATCACGAAGTAGGCTCGACGTGCAGCATACCAGACGTGGGGAAACATTCATAGGACAGCCAAACCCTAGAGATGAAAAAAGAAGGGCAAACATAAACAAAGCAGAAACCAGACCTCTTGAAACAGAATCAGAACAAGTGGCGAAAGAAATAAAAAGAAACGCAAGAGCGAAAAAGGAACATGAAAAGAGAAACGAAACATACCGGAAACGTTCAATGACACCGCTTCGTAGAATGAAGGATCGTTATTAGTTGAATCCTACACATCATCACTGGCTCTGATGGTGGTGTGGTCCGCCGCGGTGTTGGCCAAAGCCTTCCGACTGGCCTGCGGGATCGGTATCAGGTCCTGAAACCACTGGATACTGCACAGTAACTGCGATGTCATTGAAGTTCATTACTCCTGACGAATCTATCCCACCTCGACTTTGTTGATAGACATATCCGGCATGCTCAACTGGTGATGTATACATTTGCTGCTGATTACCATACGCGGTACTGCTGGAGGCGACCGCTGACGCATCCATGCTGTATACCGTCTCTCCAACCGGCGCTTGGGCCATGTCCGAAATAGGTGACTCTAGCCTCCGCGACACGGCGTTATACAGGGGCGGATATGTCGTGGAAGTATGGTGCGAGCTGAATTGTTGTTGCCCTGTTCTAGTTGTAACTGGGTACACGTTTCGCTGCTCACCAACCGACGGCGACGTTGGCCGTGGATATGGTGAGAGATTGTACCTCTCTCCGCCGGCTGAGATTGACCTCCCTCCCATTCTCAGTGATACAGCAGTCAGCTCATTCTGCACGGTATGCATCTGGAGATGGTCGACCACCAGAGGAGATTGCGCGGTTGCATAACTTTCCGTATTTTGTGCCTTTGAATTGGACAAAGTTGAGTGGCCAACACTAGTTCTGGGTGCCTGCTCTAATTGGAAGGGATTTCGGAAAGGCCCGGTACCTGGAAGGGGACTCATTGCTGGCGACTGGCCACTTTCGACTTTCGGACGGGGAGAGTAGCTTCCTAGCTCGATGGGGCTGATAGGAGTATCAGCACATATTGTCCGCTGTTTGACAAGGCCTAGGATTGGCATGGCGACTTGCTCCATGTGCTTTGCCATGTGCACGGAGAGCTTCTTCCAACTGTTGCAGACATTGTCACAGAATCGGCATGGCTCATCCTTTGGTTGCTTGGAAGTAACATGATGACATTCTTCAACCAACTTCCATACTTGCTCTACTTCCTGGTCAGGAATTGAGCTTTGCTGGTTATCCATCTTCTTCGCTGCTCCTTTACCGTTTCCACTGCCGCGGCCTCTGGAAATTTTAGCTTTTGGTTCCGGCATTTTATGTTCTCGAACGAGCAATGGCACAAAGTTATCTTTCCGATAGCACTTGTGCGAACAGTCCTGCA